GAAGTGAGTGTAATTAAGCAAACATAAGTAACCATCCTGAATGTGCAGTAAGTACTAAAGCTGGAATTCAAACCCAGTTATAATGCCCTAATATATGCAATTGTAACTTGGTAGAGTGGGGTTTGGGGGTTTGTTTCATTTTGTTTTTGATGGTGATAAAGTAGAAATTCAGTGTAAATAATTTGAAGGACACAGACAGCGTAAGGGTGGAGTGGGGATGTAAACAGGTAATCACACCGCCCAGAGAGAACTGCTTTTAAAATTCTGATGTAGGTTGTGGCTGAGTCTCCAAAGACGGCAGCCATCAATTCCTCCTCTCCCCGCAGGTGCCTCTGCTCTGCCTCCCCTGGAGTCTGGCCTTAGACTCACCTTGGCCAGTGGAACGTGGCAGAGGCGATTCTAAGCCAGCTTCAGTCTGGCCTGCAGGAGGTCTGGCGGCTTCTGCCTCTCTTTCTGGGCAATGCCAGCTGCTACATCAGAGCTCTTCTTGCCCCAGCCCACTCACCTTCAGGAACCCTCAGAGAGAGGTGCGTAAAGGAGAGCCTGTGAGCGAAGCCTTCTTGGACCTACAGCCCAGCCGCGCCCCCACTGAATACCGTCCAGGAAGGGCCCCGGGCAAATCCCTGGAGCAGAGGACCCCACCCCAACCACCAGCGCAGCCCAGTCAAGCTGCAGAATCAGGCGAAATAACAGATTACTGTTTTAAACCACTGTTTTGCAGTGTCTTGTTACATAGCAATTGATAACTACCAAGCCTTCGTCCCTATAGCTACTCTCCGTATACATGAACCTATGTTTATGTTCATTTCAAAACGATCTTGCACTCTACTCTTTTCACCTGGAAGCAGTATTCATGTCCATTAAATAGTCTCGGTCTTCTGCAACAGGACTTCTTAACAGCCACAAAGTGTCTCCTCGCCCGGAGGTACTGTCGTTCATGCAATGGTTCTGTCTTGCTGGGCGATGAAGTGGCTTCCCCATTTTCACTACTATTCATAATACCTGCAGTGAGCATTCTTGTGCACAAACACGTGCACAGATACCTCACTACATCCTTTGGAAGAAGTCTGGCCATGGGATCAGAGCAACAAGGCATTAAATATTTTTATAGTTCTGGCCAGATTACAACCCCACCAGCTGCAAACGAGCACTCTAATCTCTTCACACATGACCTAACAACACTAGGTATTTTTTTTTATTACTCTCTTGCAATGTAGCAGGTGAAAGATGGTTTCTCACCATTGTTTTAATTTTCCTTTCATTAATGAGGGTCAGATGCCCGCGCCCCGCCCCACGCACCCCGCTGCCTGGCCTGTATGAGAAGGCCATACGTAATGTCGTCCGACAGTCAAGGTTAAACGGGCGAGGCTACTATGAAAACTGTATGATGGAAAGAATATCCGTAATAAGTGGATGGCAGGATAATTTTCCGGTAGGGCCTAAAGAGTCATAATCCATTTTACTGACAGAAGAATTTCACAATCCATTGATTTAAAATCACATAGATTAATGATGACATTTCTAGAGCATTTGTACCTGCCGCTCATGTTTGTTACCTGTGTTTATAGGAAGCTGTAAATCACTTCTCGAGCAAACCATTAATTGTGAAAATAAATCTCACCCTGATAAAACCTCAAAGACAATTAGTTTATCTGATAAATTTTATTAATAGGAATTAATTCTCAAATCTTCTTCTACCCAATTTAATTTCCAATTAAATAAAATATGCCTATAGCCCTCAAGAGATCCTATAGGTGAAAAGTTGCTAAAGATAAGCACGTATCATCACACGGACCTGAGCAAAAATCATTTATACTGTGACATGCCATAAGGACAGAATTTTTTTAAGTTATAACTTCATCAAAAATGTTTCCTTAGGTTTTTTTTTCACTCATTGAAATATAATAAATGACAGAAAATAAAAAGATGGCTTAAAAGATTTAAATACTTAAATTTCACTTAAAGTAATTATCTCAGGGACTGTCACAAACATAACTTTAGAATCAAGTTGCATTTTCCATGTCATTATTAAGGAGGAAAGCAAGTCGCCTTTTGCTAGCTTTCCTCCTGACTTTTTATCTCTTTTCTCCTCCTCCCTGCCCACCCGTTAAGTAAGTATCCCCTGGTTCTACTTTTGCCCCGTGCTCCCAGCGTGTATCTCTTATTTGCATGCTTTGCGCGAGACACCGGGCTGAGCTGCTTGCAGACATCACTCTTTGCAGATGTTTAATAATCACAATAGCCTGAGGGGGCTGTTATGATCCCCGGCTGACAAATGAAGAAACTGAAAGTTAAAAAGAGGTTAAGTAACTCGCCTGCGTCGTAAAATACTCTTTCCGACTGCACTGGCACCACAGAGTCAGTGTCACTCTGGGCAGCCAGAGAGTGCCCGTATCCGCACCTTTGTCCCCAGTCCTCTGTCCTCCAGACCTGTGCATCCAACCCCCCAGTGGACATCGCCACCCGGTGTCCCACAGGCACCCCCGCCGACGCAGCGTGTCTGAAAGCCAGCACAGCCCCTCCCCAGGAGCCTGCCGCCGGCTCTGCGTGCCTGCTGCCTCTGGGCACCCACACTGCGCGCCGAGACCAGGGGCCCCGTGACCGCCCCTGCCCCGCCCTCCCGCACACTCACGCCCTCGACACTGTGCCACGTGGACACGTCTCTGTGCACACAAGCCCCTCACTGACTCGCATTCCAACGGGGAAGGCGGCAAAGGCCATCGCCACTGACACCAAAGCCACTGTACGGATGGTGAGAAAGAACCGCGAGGGACACAGACGGGGGTCGGGTGGTGGCGCCGCAGGGGTGGGTGGCCAGGACAGCAGGAAGTGAGATCCAAACTGAGACCTGGAGGGGGTGACACGGGCGGGAAGGTCCGAGCAGGCGGAACGCCATGTGGGAAGTAATCAGAGTAAAAATTCCCATGTGGGAAGTCAGGGTAAGAATTTTATCAATTCCACTGCCACGATGCCTCCCAAGTGACTCCCTCCCGATCCCTCGCACTCTGTCCCCCTTCGCTTCTCCCACAGCGCAGCTTAGGGGGCGTGTCCCTGGCTCCGGGGCCTCCAGACGCCCGGTCCCCACCACGCCGCTGCCCGAGGCAGGGGTCACCGCCCAGCGAGTGCTGAGCTTTTCACTTTTCTTTACTACAAAGTTCACTTTCCTCGGGTTAATTATCTGTCATTTTGACGTGCCTCGTTTCGGAGCAGAGCACACCCAGGTATCCAGTGTGTCAAAACACCTCGGAGCCGAGAAGCCCTCCCCCACCCGGCTTTCACCACGGAAGCACCGAGGAGGCGCCTGAGACGGAGGGAAGATGACCGTCACCCTGGCCTTGCCCGGTCCCCCTGCGAGCTGAGGTCACCCTCTCCTTGGCCGGGAGCAGCCTCTGCTGGTCTCTGAGCAGCAGGTGTGGGCGCGAAGCCAGTCTAGGCCATCGGCACCATGGAAATGGCATTGTAAGTCCTTCACTATCACACGCACACAAAAGTTGGTTATAACGTATGAGTTTTTAAGTAAACAAGCATTAAAAAAAAAAAAAATGCCCAGCCCAGGAACGCGTGCATTGTGAGCAAGTTGGAACGAGCTGGTGTCCGCCTTAGGGGCACAGCCGCCAGGCCGGCAGGGCCATCAGGCTACCTTTCCCAGGACGCTGCTAGACACACACTGTGCACTGCTCGTGGGCTCCCTATTCCAGGCCCCCGGGTTTGGCAGGACTGCGCCTACAAAGCACCAGACTCCCTCTTGGTGACGGTCCCTGAATACGGAGCCCTTCCATTTCCCCCCTCCCAGGAAGGCAGACTTCCCTGACCTCTGGGACTAACCGAAGAAGGCACGGCCTTAAGATTTCTCTGCTGATGGAGAATGGGGTCTTGGCACCACCAGAGCTCCCCTTGAAGCCAGCAGTGTCCTGCGGGCCACCCCCAGTCTCTGCCCGACCGGGAGGTCTCGAGGGATGACAACAGGTCCTCACGCCCCTCGCCACCCTGTCTCTCAGCCGCCACAAGATGAAAACCCCAAATGGTGCTGGAAGGGGCAGACTTTGTTACTGAGGATAAGGGCAATGTCGAAGGAAAAGTACAATGTAGAAGTGACACGTGGCCCCCATAAGAAAAGGACCCTAAATAAAGGCTTCTTGGCGTCATACACACAAAACCAAGATGGCGGCTCACCTACCCTCAGAGTTTTGCACAAACGCCTAAAGACCTCCATTACCTAGTCTCCACGTCCAAAAACTTCACAGCCTCCACTGAGAAACTCGGCCCACTGGCCCAGGAAGATCCATGCAGTGGACCCAGCGTGAATCCTAGAACCCCGAGTGTGGCCTTCAGCTCCAGACAGCACTGATGTCCACAGCTGCCGGTCTCCACCTTGCAGGGGTGGGGCAGGGGGAGGGGATGGGGAGGTGGACAGATCCCCTCCTGTGGGCAGCTCTGAACACGATCCTTTGTGAGCACCTTCTTTTCTGTATTTGTGCCAATGAACAGTTTCCACAGACCCCATGTGAGTTAACTCCTGAGGTCGGTGCGTCTCCCTCCGAGCTAGCAAACCCAGGACTCACAGAGAGAGAGGAGCGTTCCCCTAATTAGTGGGGTACGGGTTGTGTCCCAGGCATCAAGGGATCCCCACTGCCATGCTGAGTCCTGAAGTACCACCGGAGTGCTCTACTCGCTCCCAACGCTGAGAGGCCGCGTGGTGACTGGGAGGAGGACCAGGACTTAGATTAAGTTCTTCCTGTGGAGTGAACCCTCTGGGAGAGGGTCTGGGATTAGGGAGACAGCCGAACACCCCTTCCTCCTGCCTCATCTATTGCACTCCGTGTCCAGGTGAGTGAGTGTACAGTGACCTAAGCAAGACTGCCATTGCTCAGTGATTACTTATAACTGGAGGCGGGGAGAGAAAGAGGAATGTTGTAGAAGAAAGAAGCTGGACTGGGGAGCCAGATAACCTGAGTGTCACACACTGCCTCATCTGCAACAGTGGGAGGAGCAATACTTACGTCCCAGTGCCGTCGTGGGACAACTGAGGTAGCCGCGTGATCTCTCAGCACCCACACAGTGCCGGGCACACAGGCTGAGGGTCTCTTCTTCTCTGCTCAGCTCCACATCCTGGTTAGCAATAAGGAGAACACAGTGTTCCAAAGTTGCACAGTCATGCCAAAAAGCAATCTGGTATAAAATCTTCAAAAAGAACAAAGGGGCAGTTTTTGATTCCCATATAATTTAAAACATACTGGGGTGGGGGGGGAGAATTAGGCACATTTTCAAAGGCATCAAATGTGTCAGAAATAGGGAAAAAATCCTGTCTAGATTGAAGACTCTAATGCAATTTCTAATTGTCCAATAACTCACTTTTATGAAGCAATCAAGTTATTGTCAAAGGAAAGGATATCCTGTTAATGTCTTATTAATAACAATTATGTTCTCCAGAAATTGATCTATAGGAAAGAACTCAATTTGTTCAAAAAGATACGACTTCGAATGTATCATTTGCCTGGAAGTGTTCTGGTCACAAAATGTCCATAATTACTGCAATTCTGTTCCTTGTTTGCATCTGAAATCACACCGCTAACATCTTTTTCGTGACAAAAGCACTTTAACAGCCAAAAAAATTTTAAACACGACTGGTAGGTCTCTTTTGATTAGAAGTTTGTTGAATGCAGCTGCAGTATTTCTGAGTTAAGCTATGCTCATGTGTTCTCATTCTGGCTGGAACATTTCAGTCTCTGTTGTTTTGATTGCGATATTGTCCAGCAGGCTGGACTGATGATTAATTCACGTTATTAAAATGACTAACGCGCCTTTCAGATGGCAATTGAAAATGCACACCAAGAACAGTCTTGGAAGTGATTTGACTGCAGATTTGAGGGGAGGAGAAGTTATGCAGTTGTTCCTTCTGTAACTTAGCCATATTTAAGCAGGATGCATGTAATATCCTACAGGCCACCATGGTTTCTTTGGGACCCTATGAGTGGTGGGTACAAAAGTCATAATTGCTGTGTTCCCAGGGTCACATACAAAATCAGTCACTAAGACATAAGCAAAGTGGAGTCCCAGACAGGAGGTCAGAATTAGGATTCTTGGCTGGGTGCAGTGGCTCACACCTGTAATCCTAGCACTCTGGGAGGCCAAGGTGGGTGGATCGCTCAAGATTAGGAGTTCGAGACCAGCCTGAACAAGACCGAGACCCCATCTCTACTAAAAATAGAAAGAAATTAATTGGACAACTACAAATATATAGAAAAATTAGCCGGACATGGTGGCATATGCCTGTAGTCCCAGCTACTCAGGAGGCTGAGGCAGAAGGATTGCTTGAGCCCAGGAGTTTGAGGTTGCTGTGAGCTAGTCTGATGCCACGGCACTCTAGCCTGGGCAACAGAGTGAGACTCCGTCTCAAAAAAAAAAAAAAAGAAGTAGGATTCTTGTAGAAAACACACCTGGGATGTCTGCTTAGCCCCTCCCCCTTCTCTAGAATACTCCCACATTCTGTGTTGGGGTGGGCTAGTGAGCGGTGTGCCAGGTGGGTACACCCCAAAGTGGATGAATAGAATTCTTTTTAAACTCTAAGGAATGCATATGTTAATTAGCTTGATTTAGCTGTCCCATGATCTATACATATTTCAAATTATCACCTTATACACCATAAATACATATACTTATTTGTTAATTATAATAAATTTAAAAGTTTTTTTTAACTTAGGAGGAATGAATTAAAGAGATCCATTATACACCATGGTGACCACAGTTAATAACAATGTATTGTATATTTCAAAATCACTGAGAGAGTGGATGGACTTTGTGTTCTCACCACAAAATCAACGGTGAGCACGTGAGCTAATGCATATGTTAATTAGTTTGATTTCGCTATTACACAATGGATACATATTTGAAAATATCATACTGTACACCAGAAATATATAGAATTTTTATTTCTTCAATGAAAGAATGTGAATGAAAAGGGAATAAAACTCCACCTGGACTAAACTGTGTTGGGGGCTGACTGCGTAAATGCGTGCAGAGACGAGGACGCGTCTCCTGCCCAAAGGCCACTTGGTTACTGAGTGACGTCACGAGGAGGTGAAAGCTAAAAAGCTCGCAGAGAAACCAGTCTGCGGAATCGACGCAAGGGAGACGCACGAGAGAAATGCGGCTCCGGGGAGGACACACGGGACCACTGCTGGGTCCCAGAGCCGGGAGCTGCGAGGCTCCGTTGTGTGGTTACCACCGACCCGCATTGGCCTGACAACCAGGACGACTGTGAAACCCCCAGGTCCAAAGGCGGACGCTACCACCGCCCCGCCCCCCGCCACGGGGACAGTGCAGCTGGGCCCAGGGGCACCTGCAGGGAGCCGCCCCCACCCCGAGTCACCCTTTGGCAACCGAGGGTGTGACTGAACTAACACCCGGATCCCAGATTCGTTTTTTTAAAAACTGGATGATCTTTCACTATCCTAAAATACAATCCCTTCTTGGAACTGCTCCTCCTGGGTGATACCAAAGCATAAAATCTGGAGCCAGAAGACCTGGGCTCAGCTCCTGGCTTCATCGCTTCCTGGCGGCGTGTGACGGGAACTCACTTAGCCTCCCAAATTTCTACTTCCTCTTTTTAAAAATAGAGATGATGGCAGTTATCTGTCAAGTATTTTTATTGTTACCTCCTTTACAAAGCCAACATGGTACTAATTGTCCACGATGGGATTAGTTCGAATGAGCTGTGTGCATATCTCTGTGACAACAAGGGACGTCGTGAGGGCCGATGTTACGTGTGACAAGCCTGGGCCACGGGAGCCGGGCGCTGGGGCAGGCCGCTGTGCTGGCGTCTGGGAGGCTGTCTCTGGACGCCCCACGTTGGAGCCCCGGGTGTGTAAAGCAGGCGCCTCCCCCGTGTGGGCGGGCCTCACGCCAGCGCCTGAGGCCTCCAGGGAACAAAACGCTGACCTCCCCTGAGTCAGCGAGGACTCCTGCCCGCCACCTGCAGGCTGGGACTTCGGTTTCTTCCCGTTCTCAGACTCAAACTGAAACTCGGACCCTCCTGGGTCTCCAGCTTGCCACCTGCGTGTCTCGGCACTTGTCGGTCTCTACGCTCAGGTGAGCCAATTTCTATAATAAATCCCCGTCTCTCCCCATGTGGCATGCACACACACACACACACACACACACACACGCACACGTGCTTCTCTGGAGAACCCTAACTAATACAGACACACTGTATTATACTTCTCTGTGTATATTGGTTTCCCCATCAGACTATGAGACCTTCAATTGCACGAATTGTTTCAAATGCATCTTTGTAAACACAACACACAGTGCAACATCTGGTGCAGAGTAAGGGCTCAATAAATGTCAAATGAATGAACAACTACCTTGCAGATTGCCTTTTGTGGCTGTTGGGAGGAATAATAATACATGTGCGCGCCCTTTGAAATCAGTACAGCTGTGTACGGGAATTTGATATTTCTCCACATCAGTCTCCAAGCCCATTCTTACTGGAGAGAATCAAACCAAACTAGGAGCTGGGTATTTCTAACCCCTCCCTGTCTTCTCTTCATCTTTATTCATTCAAAATGATTGTCTCTGGCATGTGAGGTGCCGTCCCTGGCACTGAGCATGAGCGATGTAGACAAGGTCCCTGGGCTTCTATTCTAGGGGTGCGGGTGGGGAAGAGACAAGCAAGCAGGTAAACAAGCAATGACACCCATGAATCAGTACCATGAAGGAAATGGCACAGGGCCATCCGGAGGCAAGGGCCACTCTAAATTGTACCGTCTTCCCCACATAGGAGAGCTATTTTTTTTTTTTTTTTTTTTTGAGACAGAGTCTCGCTTTCTTGCCTAGGCTAGAGTGAGTGCCGTGGCGTCAGCCTAGCTCACAGCAACCTCAAACTCCTGGCTCGAGTGATCCTTCTGCCTCAGCCTCCCGGGTAGCTGGGACTACAGGCATGCGCCACCATGCCCGGCTAATTTTTTATATATATATCAGTTGGCCAATTAATTTCTTTCTATTTATAGTAGAGACGGGGTCTCGCTCTTGCTCAGGCTGGTTTTGAACTCCTGACCTTGAGCAATCCGCCCGCCTCGGCCTCCCAAGAGCTAGGATTACAGGCGTGAGCCACAGCGCCCGGCCTGGAGAGCTATTTTTTGTTGTTGTTTTTATGTGTGTTTGTTTGCTTCCAGTATCTTCTTAGCTCATTTCCAATTTCCCCTACCTCAAGAAGGAGCTTTACGCAAACTCAGAGTTCACACAAATTAATTTGCCTAAAATGTCCTTTGGATCACCTCATTCTCTCGCTTAAAAAGCTGTGTTGGTTTCCCAATTCCTACAAGTAACGTCCAAATAATATATTGGTACCTAAGGCCCTCTAAGGTTTGTTCTAAACCTTTCCATCCTGTTAATCTCTGGAAACACCTGCCCGCCTTTACACACTGCACCCCCCGCACGACCCCAGGACTTTGCCCTCTGCATCCCCCCGACTGGACTCCCCTCTTCCTTCTAACCCCAACACTCCCCGTCAGCATGGGTTCCGTCTGTTAAGGCCCGGATAACGTGGCTAAGGGTTCCTCGGTCCATGCCATCTGCTCGGTAAGCACGAGTCCTTCCTTCCTGGCTAGAAGAAAACATTTGCTCCTGCAAGTCCGACAGCACTTGGTCCAAACCTTCCTTATGGTATTTACGTGGCTCTGCCGTGTGTCATCATCTTTTAGGAACACGCCACATCTTTCCATCTGGGTTATTATTTCCCTGGAAGGACAGATTGTTTTATTTAACCATGTTTTTCCTATAGTCCAGTACAAAATGGAGTGCAAATGTTTGTCCAAAGTCTGGTGGGTGAACTAATGGCCTGGCAAGTAAAAATGAAGCATCTGAAACTTTTTCGTATTCTTCTACTTCAACAGCTAATGTCACATGGATAATGAGTCTTGGATAGATACATTCATCTCCCCTTACGGAGTCCGGTGATAAACAGTCATCACGGCAGTTCAGAAAGTGCGGGCAATTTCCTTTTACCAAGAGTGATCATTTTGGTGACAATTCAGAAAATTATGTGCTGGGTATAATTATGAGCTATTCCAACAACAACAACAAAAATAAGTAATTCTGAAGTCCTCTTTCACAGAAGATTTTAAATTTTTGACTGTGGTGATTCTGCTACACCATGACTGTGACAATACTTCCTGGCAATAGGACCCCCAAGGCTGTAAGAGCAGCACAAGAGTTTGCACATCTCTCCCAGCCCCTGGCTTGGGTGTGGGAGTCTGGCTAAGCCTCCAGGTACAGGAAGATGCTGAAACTGGCCACTCTCTGCAAAGTGTGCTTTTGGACAGTTCTCTTGCCATTCTGTTCATGTCAGAGGTGCAAACCAAGAAATCATCTGCAACAATTTTGCAACTCACGTGATAATAAACGGCTTGTTTTGCATGGACTATTTTCCAGTACATAACAGCCGCATGCTATGTTTCATTCCAAATCAGACATGAAAGCCCTCAAGTGGTACGTCAATCCAGAAACTTCAACATTATACCAAGAGTCTTGTTGCTGCCTTCTTCTCTCAAAGGTGTCATTCAGATATAATATTATCAACTGATAGACTGTGGATTTACTTACCCCAGTAGATGTTTGCCCTGGGAAGAGCTTTATGGCTTAGCTTCCCTGTGGAGAGAAAAAAGTCTGACACGTGTCCAGCTAACATAACTACTGATCAGCAGGATTTCTGCAAATATATTATAAAGGTGAGTTTTTCTACACCTAAATGTGCAAGCTCTTACACTACGGATACTTAAGGACCCAGGAGTTAAGGACACTTTATGATAACGCCCTTAGTAAATGGCACGTGATTCAAATGAACAGCTGAGCAGCGGCTACGTACGAGGCATGGAGAGAAGTTCCCAGGACAAAGTGAAGATGAGTAGGTCACAGTCCATACCCACAGGGAGCTGATCACAGAACAGGAGCACAGTTAGCCACACAAGCTACCATTAACATGGGTAGACTGGACAGGTTCCAAGTTCTGCAGGAGCACAAAGGAGGCGTCACCTTGGGCCAGAGGACAGTGGCATTTGCTGTGTGGTCCTTGGAGGATTATTATCAGGACGTTGACAGCAAAGACAAAGCTGGGAGGATGGCAAAGTAGGCAGCAGGAGACCAAGGGCCGCTAAAAGCAATCAGAAGCAATAATGGCACAGCTAGAGGTGAATATGAAGCCGAAAATGAGGAGGACCTGAATGACAACAGTAGTCTTTGTGATGTGCAGATAAACCGCTCCTCGTTAACGGCCTGCAGGTTTCTTCTGTAGTTGAGTGTGGCGTCTCCATAGTGAAAACATTGGAGTTAGAAAGTGTTTAGTTTTTCTGGTTGTGACGGCTTCGGCGTGGGAGCACAGCAGGCGTCTGCGCTGACTCCAGCGACACACGAGTGTGCGAGTGTGCGGCGGGGATCTCGCCCTCGACGCGGGAGACCGGTGAACAGGGGATGTCGTCCCAAGTGGGCTCTTGAGGCCCAGGCGCTAAACATATTATTTGGCGAAGGAATGCAAATGTACCTTTGGCTTTGCAGAAGGGTGTCATGGGGTTAATTTTGTTTGTTTCTTTCTAAATGCCCATTCAGGAGGGACTGTCTCTGACTATCTCTGACATGCGTGTGTATGTGCTTGTGGGTCACGCAAGCACATGTTTCTAATAATTTGCTCAGAGGAGCACACCTTGCCAGGGAAGGTGTGCTCACCTCGCATCTGCACCCCAGTCTGAAGGAAAGACAAGAAACTAAACAGAGCCTAGCACTGAACCCTCAGGACTGGACATCCCACCCGTGAAATTGTGCTACAAATCCTCTTAACCAACCTCGGAAAACCCACTTTTGCGGTTTTTTGGCCTTCCGGTTCTTTTTGCGGCGGTTCGGCTTAGGTTCCCCTGTGCTGCCTCCCAGAGAGCTCCCCCCAGGACACCAGCCAAGAAACAGCCCCTTCCAAGATCGAAATATCCCATGTCCCAAAGGTGTGTTGGTACAGAAATTCTGGTTTTCTAACCCACATGAATGACATATGAATATAAGCCTAAGAGGAGAGTACTTGTTTCTGTAAATCTAAATGTTTAGAAAAACCCCTTAAGCATGAATTGCTAAAAATTCTGTCCAATCAAGTACTGGCAACACATCTGTCAAAGCTTAGGGGGAACAATAATAAAATATAAGAAAATCCAGCAAATAATGAATTAAGGAATTTTGGTGCTGCATACATTGGGGTTCACTGTAAAAGTCTTTCAACATTTCCACAAGTTTGAACATTTTTAGAATAAAATGTTGAGGAAAATGTATCCAGAAATCTATAGGGACGATTTTGAGTTCTTGACAAGATGTCGAATTAGCATGAAATGTGGATTCCTTCCCCTAGTCCAATGCTAGAGAGTTCACAAAAATAAAGTTCCAGTACCCAGAAAATAAAAAGATTATGCAGATGCAAAAGCCTGCACGCCCCATATTCCAATTGCTAACTCCACTCTGCTCTGTATCCTTCCATGTTGCAGGTAGGTATTTTCTCGACCACACACACTCCACCCAGCAACCCACCCAGTGGTCTAACTATTCTAATTCCAGTGTCTGGCTGAGAAAATGTAGCTACCAACTGTGGGGGAAAGAAATCTCAATAAAATAAGTTGAAGTGCTGCTTCTGTTCCTTCACCTAAAGAAATGCAGATTCTATTCTGCATTACGAAACTGCCCTTGCAAATGTTATTTCTAGCAAGGAAATCTCGTAGGACACTCAGAGTCAGGCATCGCTGGGGCGTTCTGTGACTGCTACTTTCAATCTCTAAAAAACCTGCCATTCTAACGGGGGGCGGGGGGGTGTCATACTTAAAATTTCTGGCTCTGGCAATAATATTCAAGTTTACATCTTTGTCTTCTTTTTTATTCTTTAAAGGCATAAATTCTCATGAGTTTTCTTTGTAAACCAGAAAGGATCAGTTGTTCCTTCACTGTAAATAGCTTTTATGAAAGAAATGACTTTTGCTTAGGTGATTTTGTCTTCTATTTTATTTAAGTCATTTCTATGTGAACTCCCGGGGAGAAGGTAGCACGTCTGTCTGCCGTGGGGAGAAGCTGGGCGGGAAGCAGCTGGGGGGAAGGCTTCCCGGATTTGCTCTTTGGGCCCTGTCACACTGCCCTGGGCAGGCCACTGGCTGACCGCCTCTGACCACCACGAGCTTGAAAAGCAGCAGTGCTGCCTCCTGTGGGTTCAACTGCATCCCTAAGATGTTGGAGTCTACTCCCCTAACCTCGAAATGTGGCCTTATTTGGAAATCGTGCCTTTGCAGAGGTAATAATCGAGATGAGGCTGTACTGGAGTAAGGTGGGCCCTAGTCCAATGTGACTGCGTCTCTTAATGAGGGGGACACATTCACGCGTCCTTAGGGGATTTCCTACATATAGGGACATCACAGAGTGTGCACCTGCACAAACCTGGATGGTACGGCCTACTATAAAAGATAAAATACAGTAAAAATACAGCATAAAAGATTTTAAAAATGGCACACCAGTATAGGTCACTTGCCATGAATGGGGCTTGCGGGACCGGAAGTTGCTCTGGGCGAGTCAGGGAGCGAGTGGCGAGTGAGGGTGAAGGTCCGAGGACGTTGCTGCACCCTACTGCAGACTTTGTAAACACTGGACACTTAGGCCGCACTAAATTTATTTTAAAAAAATTCTTTCTTCAATAATAGATTAACCTTAGTATACTGTAACCTTTTTTACTTTATAAGCCTTTAAATTTTTTTTAACACTTTGACTTTTTTTTGTAATAGCACGTAGCTTAAAACACAAACGTATTGTATGGCTGTACAAAAATACTTTCTTTATATAACTATTCTATAAGCTTCTTGTTATTTTTAAACATTTGTATTGTCTTTTGCCTTTTAAACTTCTTTGCTAGAAACTAAGATGCAAACACAGGCCACCAGCTGACCTACCTAGGTCCACATTAGCCTAGGTGCACACGGGGTCAGGATCATCAATGTCACTGTCTTCCACCTCCACACCGTGTCCCCCTGCAAGGTCTTCAGGGGCAGTGACACGCACGGAGCTGCCGCTGCCTGTGAGGACAATGCTTTCTGGGATCCCTCCTGAAGGACCTTCTTCCTGAAGGACCTTTCTTCTTCTCCAGGAAGTGTCACTCCTTTCAGAAATACCTCCATGGTGGTTTGCTTAGCTTGTTTCTTTTTTCCATCATGGATTTGTGTGGGTAATGCATTATGTCATAACACCGTGATGGCTGCAAGGTCAGCAGGTGGCAGGAAGTTTCCAGCTCCACTACAGTCCTACAGGACCACTGTCATACATGCAGTCTGTCCTCGACTGCAACGTGTCAATCAACATTTTGTTAAAGGAGAAAGGAAAAGAAAAATTAAGAATCTATTTAACCTGAATACCTCGAAAATACTGCGTGCCAAATTCTGTGATACACAGAAAGAGCAATTATTTATAGGGAGACTTATAGCTTTAAATAAATTTATCAAAAAACTGAAAATTTTATCAACGCATGGACTAAGTATTCAACTCAAGGAGTTGGAATACAAAGACCAAAAAGCAAAGTAACATAGAAAGAAAGGAAGAAAGCACAATTTAAGAGTGGTTCTGGCTGTGGCCAACTAAAAATGTCCACAAATCCTTTCCCCAAAAAGCAGCTACCGTACAAAGATTTAAGCTGAAGGGAAATCACACCAGATATTCACCTCCACCTACAGGAGGCAACACGGAACACCGGAAATGGTAAGTGTGTGGGTCAATGCAAAAAAACCATAAATATACTTCTTCCCAGTTCTTTTTAACTTCTTACCAACATTAGAAGGCTCAAAGCAGTAACTGAAGCATCGTGTTGCCGGGTCTATGACAATCACGGCCCACGGAAGGGGCGAGTGATGGAGCCACACTGCAGCGAAGTTGCTAATTCTGCCACAATTAAATCTGAATAGCCTGTAAGAAATTACAACATATAAATTAATCCCCAAAGCAACTATTTAAAAATCACAAAAATATTAAAAGTAAAAAATTATAAAAAATCAACAAAAGAACTAAAATTATACATTGAAAATATTTATTTAGTACAAAATAAAACAGTAAGGGAGAAAGAGAGAAACAGAAAAGACAGAAGGCTTGGAGAAAAAAAATAACAAAAATGTCAAATGTAAATCCGGCCCTATCAACAAGCATGTTCAAAACCCTTAATCAACAGGCAAATATGTCAGACTGGACAAAAAATAAGATCCAACTATGTTCTATCTATAAGAAATACACCTTGGATTCAAATAGATAAACAGGATGAAAATAAATGGGTAAGAAAAGATATTCAATGCAAATCGAAGCTATAAGAAAGCCCGAGAAGCTATATTAAGATCAGACAAAATAGACTTCAAGACAATAAATAGTATTAGAGACAAAAAGGAGCATTTAATAATGATAAAAGAGTCAATGTATCAGGAAGATATAACAATGTATGCACACCTAATAACAGAACCTCAAAATACATTAAACACAAACTGACAAGAATTTAAAGAAATATATAATTTCACAATAATAGGTAAAGATTTCAGTATCTCACTCCTAATACTATAATATTATGACAGAAATTATCAAAATATATAAAACTTGAAACCTACTATCAACCAATTCCACACCGGTGACGTTTATAGAACATGCTATGCAGCAACTGCAAAACACACAATCTTTTCGAGTGCAAACAGAACATTCTCCAGAGTAGACCATACGCTATTCAAAAAGAAAAAAGTCTTCAAGAATTTAAATGGCTTAAAATTATACAATGTATCTTCTCGAACTACAATAGTATTAAAACTGGATACAAATTAGTCTCCAACAATTGAAAATCTGCATCTGCAACATCCCCATACGTTAGGCAATTAAAAGACACACTTCTAAATAACCCATGGGTTAAACAAGAAATCATAAGTAAAATTAGTAAACATTTTAAATAAATAAATAAATAAATATTTTTTAAATAAATAAAACATCTAAATAAAATGTTTAGAAAACATTTTAAAGAAATAAATATTTAAAAATAAATATTTAAATAAATATTTAAAATAAACATTTTAAATGTATAAAAATAAATTTTTATTTATAAAAATAAATAAAAATTTATAATTTAAATAAATTAATTAAATAAATGTATTTATTTAAAATAAATTTTTAAATAAAAACATTTTAAATAAATAAAATATTTTATTTATTTAAAATATCATATTTGGGGCATAAAAAGTAATTACATGGAAATTTAGAGCTTTAAACCCCTGTATCAGAAAAGAAAAATGTCACAAATAAACCACCTAAGTTTCTACCTTAAGAAAGTAGGAAAAGAAGAGCAAACTAAACTCAAAGTAGGAAGAAGAAACTAAGCAGTAAATTAGAGCAAAGATCAATGACACAGAAAACAGAAAAACCATAGGAAAAATATTAATAAAATAGAAAATGTGTTCTTTGAAAAAAATTTTTTAAAAATTAACAAACCTTCAACTAAGCCCAGGGAAAAAAGAGAGAAGACACAAATTAGCAAAATCAAGAATAAAAGAGGGGATGTCACTAATGAATCTGGAGGAATTCAAAGGATAAAGGATAAAGGATTGTAATCTTATGATCCATGATATGCTACAAATGAGAAACCCATTAGATGAAACTGGACAAATTCTTAGAAATACAAACTACCAAAACTGACTCAAGAAGAAATGTAAAATTTATATTCTAATATAAACCTATAATAAGAAAAGAATTTGAATTAGTAATGAAAACTTTCCCACAAAGAAAAGCCAAGGCCCAGATGACTTTACTGGTGAATTTTATCAAATAGTTAAAGAAATAATACTAGTCTTTCACAATTTCAGAAAATAGAGGAGGGAAGACTTCTCAAATCAGTCAACGAGACCAGCGATCTCCTACTATACTAGTAATACCTACTAACATTACAAAGCCAGAGAAAGATGTCACAAGACAAGAAAACTATAGATCAATATGACTCATGAACACAGACACAGCAATGCTCAACAACATATTAGCAAACCAAATCTACCAACATACAGGAAGGATTATACATTTTGATCAGGTGATATTTTCCCAAGAATGCAAGGTTTGTTTAACATGTGAACAGCAATTACTATAATAAACCATATTAATAAAATAAAAGACAAACCACATGATCATCTTAATAGATACCAGAAAAGCATTTGATCAAATCCAAAATTGATTCATGGTAGAAAAAAAAAACTCTCAACAAAACAGGAATAGAAGGGAACTTCTTCAACCTGATAACCCAACAGCTATTATAACATCATATTATTGGTGAAAGACCGGATGCTTTGTCCCTTAAGTTTGAGAACAAGATCAGAAACTTCTTTTCAACATTGAATTGTATGGTTCTAGCCAATGTAGCAAGAGGAGTATATAAAGGAAGAGAAAGAAGGGAGAAGTGTGAAAGAAGGAGGAGGAAGGGGTGGGAGAAGAGGAGGAGAAGGAAAAGGAGGAGAAGATGAAGAGGAAAACAAAAGAAATGGAAAGAAAAAATTAGTTATCCAGTTTGGAAATGGAGAATTAAAACTAACTTGTGATCTTAGATATAGAAAATCCCAAGGAAATCACACAGACACACAAATAAGTTGTATATCAAGGTCATGGAACTCAAATCAAGATACAAAAATTAATTATATACGCTAGCAACAAATAATCCGGAAATAAAATTTTAAGAAACAATTTTATTCACAAAAGCAACAAAAAATGAAGTCGGAATGAGTTTAACAAAACACGTGCAAGACTTGCACATGAAAAAATGCAAAAACAATGCTGAGAGAAATCAAAGCAGAGCTAAATAAATGGAGAGACATTCCATGTGCAAGCCTTAAAAGATTCCGTATTGTCAAGATGGCAATTCTCCCAGAATTGATCTACGAATTTACCTCAATCCCTGTTGAAATCCCATCAGGCTTTTTTTTGTAGAAATATACAAACTGTAAATTTCTTATGGAAATGCCAAGGACCTACAACAGCCAAAACAATTTTGACAAAGAAGAATAGCATTGGAGGACTTACACTATCTGATTTCAGAACTCACAGAAAAGCTAGATTAATCAAGACAGTGTGGATTGGCACAGGATATGCATATAAATCAATGGAATAGAATTAAGAGTCCAGAAATAAATCCTTATGCAATGGTCAGTTTAATTTTGACAATGGTGCCAAGATAATTAATGGGAAGAAAAAACAGTCTTCTCAACGATTGGTGCTGGGATAATTAGATATCAATGTGCAAAAAGAACGTAGACCTTTACCACACACTACATCCAAACATTAACTCGAAATGCCTCATTGACCTAAATAAAGGTAAGAGCTTAAAGTATAAAAATTCTAGAAGAAAACACTGGGGAAAATCTTCCGACCTTGAGTTTGGCAAAGAATTCTTGGCTGTGGTACCAAAAGCACGCTCCACTGAGCACGCACAGCCTTGACAATAGGGAAAAAATAGGTTTCTAAATGATCATTTAACTAAATAATAAGAGGAAGAAAATTTTTAAATGTAAGGTCAGAATCAATGACATAAGAATAAGAGGCAATAGAACGGATTATCAATATCAAGACCTATTCATTAAAACACAGGAAACCTCTGGTCAGATTACTTTAAAGGGAAGGATGAAACAAGCAGATTCAGACTAGAGAGGAAATACACTATGTAGACAAGCTGTTAAGAACCTCCTAAACAACCTCATGCTAATAAATTTGATAACTGAGAAAAAAAAACTGATAATTCTTACCAAACTATAAAGTGACAAAATTGACACATAATGAAACAGAGTAAGTTAACATATGTGTTTGAAATTTGTTAAATCACCCATGAATCAAGGACATTAGGGTAATGGCTTTATTACAGCTTGATTTCTCTTGCCCTTTCTTGCTACTACCATTTTGCTTTCATTATTATGGCCATGTGTAGATGTTAATTTTCCCCCCCTAAAATAACCTATAAATTCCATATAATCCCAACCAACCTTCCAGAACAAGATTATATTGAAAATAAATAATAATAAAGGTCCCCAAATAGCTAAATAAGTTTTGTGGGTTTTTTTGTATTTTTTTGAGACAGAATCTCACTCTGTTGCCCAGGCTAGAGTGCTGTGGCGTCAGCCTAGCTCACAGCAACCTCAAACTCCTGGGCTCAAGTGATCCTCCTGCCTCAGCCTCCCGAGTAGCTGGGACTACAGGCATGTGCCACCATGTCCGGCTAATTTTTTTTATAGATTTTTAGTTGGCCAATTAATTTATTTCTATTTTTAGTAGACATAGGGTCTCACTCTTGCTCAGGCTGGTCTTGAACTCCTGAGTTCAAACGATCCACCCACCTCGGCCTCTCAGAGCGCTAGGGTTAAAGGCGTGAGCTACCGCGCCCAGCCTAAATAAGCTTTTTAAAAAGAAGAGCAAACAGAGGACACTCCCTCCCTACCAGACATGAAAACACACCACGAATGAGCGGCACAGAAGCAGGGTTGCCCCAGTGCAGGAAAGACACGTATTCCCATGAGATAAAGACGGGCTCACAAATCTGCCTGTGATTTTGCGAGCAAAACTGATAAAGGGCAGATTTTCAGAAATCATCAATAAGAATGCTGGATTACTATTTTACACCACATATAAATTAAAGACCTATATGTAAAGTGTAAAACCAAAAGGCTAATAGAAGTAAACGTAGCAGGATCATTTTATGACCTAGGTGGGGAAGGGGGGAAACGTCTTAAAAAGCCCAAAGATACAAACTGTGGGGGAAAAGCTGGCAGATGAGGGACTGTAAAACATAATACCTAGAATATATAAAGAGTGCCTGCAAATCAACAAGCAAAAATAAACTTAACCAAAAAATTGGCAAAGGATATGAATATACAATTCATAGAAAGAAGAGCCTGAATGGCTAATAAGCATATGAA